CCACAAAGATGCGTACGAGAACAGTGGTGTTATTCCACGCGCATGAAACTTTTGTACTAAACGGTCAGTGGTCAGCTTCACACCGCAGCTCTCGTTGTCCAAGACATCCACTGAATAGGAAGCCAGACAGCCCCCAAACCCAGTATGAACATGGTGGCAAATAGAAAGATCCCTGTCCCTGGTAGGAATCAAACCTGACTTGTCCAGAAGGTATCCTAGTTAAATTGTAGCCCACATACCGACTATTCCTGTACCAAAATGTGTCACTGTTTACTCACATTCTATTATGCATGTAACATATCATGAATAGATAAGACAGGCATCAACTATGTGAGGATCGTCACTGTACGACAGCACGACAGACTAACATATTTGGCCGTGTTTCTAGGAATGGCCAATCATCTGCATTTTGGCTGCTATGCTTAACAATGGTATTACGCATACGAACAAAATTCTGACTGCTGAATGAATTATATCATAATCATGCACAAAATATATCTACAGGTAGCCCTCGATATAAGCCGGGGATGCGTTCCTGGACGAACCGGTGTAAACTGAAACTCTTTTATAATGTAAATCAATGGGAAGTCAATGACATGTGTTCCCAGCACCCAAACATTGACGAGTAATATAATGGCGTTACGTTTAAAGCTCTGAAATAACGTAAATAAAATAAAGGGAATTTAAAAAATATATTTTATACACTTACAATCGGCGATGGCGTGATGAAGCGGCGTTAGTTCTGACGAAGTCCCTGGTTGAGGATCGTCGAGTTTTTTAAAGAAGGCATGTAGTGTGGACTGTCATGATTTCTTTTTTCTTTCTTTCAAAACTTCACAATAAGGCTTCAATTGCATCAGAGCAAACTCACATATGCAAAAGTTTGCATTCCACAAACAGCTTTTACCGATTCATCGATCTCACTGGAGCAAATTCGCGTTAACGAAACATAGGTAATTGCAGAGATGACTGTATTTATAATTTTTGTTCAAAATGAGCGATGTAAGAATTACGATTTAGTATAAGAATCAGTACGAGATACATTGTAAAACGTTATAAATAATAGTAAAATATATTTTTTTCCCACTTTTTGACTTTCTGGTTTCAAAATCGGCTTATTCTGAATGGGCGCAAATTGAACCGGTGCAAAACGAGGGCTACCTGAATTTGTTAAATAATTAGAAAACACAGCTGCAAAGATTAGTTAAGCAACAAATGACAAGAACAAATTCCAAAAGAAACGGTCAGTGCATGACTGATGGTACAATCCCCAAAATTTGCCTAAAGGTACTGAGGAAAATAAGAAAAAATCTATCACAAAAAACAGTCTCAAGATTACAACACAAGAACCTTCCAAATATAAAGCAGGTAGTACGAAACAAAGTACGGTAACATCTGGCCCCTAATATAGTCAGCCGAGTTTCTGATTCCTAAAGCTTTGGCAAAAGGAGGATCTACTGCTCCGATCCCAAACATAAAAGCCTAAAAATTGTATCAGAACTGCACAAAGACTTTCCAGAAGCCAACCTTTTTGTGCCAACAGGCACATTTGAGAGTTTATGAGATCGTGGTGGGCACCAACCAATTAATAAAGCCAAATTTTCTTTTCTCTGGACAAATAGGATATGGACACCAAATAATACGCAAAACAACACGACGTTTAATGATACAAGAAACCACGCAATCAAAAATACATAGTTTTATAAGTACAATTATTATTACTCAAGTGGGAAGTTTGGCGCTGCATTTCATCGGCCAGTTTTTCAAATTTGGGAGTGTAGGATGATGTTGCTGCTCGCAAACAATCGTCAAGATGGGCGTCAGTAAGTCGAGATCTGCGCTTTGATTTTATAATGTTCGTGGTTGAACGGCCTTCATTATTCAGTATAACCTCTTTCCGTAACAACGCGGGCACCCAGAAAAAGCTTTGGTGGGCGCCCGCGTTGGGGACCAATGGGTTAGAAAATTACCAATAGGAAATAAAGTATTCAGTTGCAGCACAAACCTTGTGTAGTAAGAAGTTCTGAATGCAAGGCAGTTTCAGGGTTTGCAGCTATTTTAGGGCTTGGTCTGTTAAAAATTTCATTAATCTGTGACAACAACAGTGTTTCATTCCTTTCAAGTTGATCGGTTTGTGTCTGCAGCTGTGACACCTTCCCAGCCAACTCATTCAGCTGCTTCTCGCCGTTCGTCACCTACGACACAGACCAAATAGCAAGACTGTGCCAAATACAGAATGAAGTTAATAAAGGAAATTCAGAAGCTCCTGAAAAATTAGTGAACCACAAATTACATTTCATACTTACATTACACTAGTGTCGGAAAATAGGAACAGAGAATTAGTCTTGTAAAAGTGGCACCACTGAAGTAAATATGTAGAAGACCTGCAATCTGTTCTCAATACAGGATGGAATATAAGAATTACGAGGGTAGTTCATTTATGTATCAAGTAAAGACATCAAAGATGGAGACGTTAAACTTGTTGAAAGGTGTACAATGTAGTCCAGTATACCGCTGTCTCTTATATAATCCCACATGCTACCTAAATCCAACCACGTCACACGTGCACATGCAGTCTCTTTAAGCAAAAATTAAAATAATAAGGTGCACATGCAGTCTCTTTAAGCAAAAAATTAAAAAAAATAAATGCCTGTATTTTGTAGATGAATATGGTAATTGTTAAAAGACAAAATACAGACTAACATTACCACCTATAACTTTCATTTCATACGTTACTTAATATCATAAAATATTTAACACACAGATCAACAAACCTTAAGCGAGAGTTTTCCAACCGTGTTATTGAGAGCACTGTATAATGAAAACTTGACACAGCTACCCTCCAGCGTCGTGAGACGAGCACTCACATTTTGGCTCAAGTCCTCCAGTCCAAGGACTGACTTCTAAGAACATAAAAACAATCAACATGTTACTTCAGCCACAACACCAAGATACCATAAACTATTTTTATAAATAATACCTCTCATGAGTTCTGGGGAAAACATTTGACTCCTGCTTTTATTTAAATGTCTCCATCTGTTTAGACCATAATTGAAAAACACATAACACAGCATAAAAAATTTCACTAATATGGACTCTGGGACAGTTTGGTAAATTAAGTAACCGTGGTACAGCATTTAATCACCAGTGCGGGTAAAGACGTTTATCTTTGCCGCCATGTCCAGACTGGATCTGGGACCCACCTAGCCTTATACAGTGAAACCTCTATCCATCGCTCCCCTAACTATTGTTTTCCCGGATGCATCGTCCGTTTTGTTCGGTCCCGGATACATCCCATATAAAATAATGTTACATTTTCCCGCTTCTATCGTTTTATCGCATCGATCGTTCAAAAACCTTAGTCCCGGCCCACAATTTTCCCGCAATGATCGTTTCTGAGAAATTATAACGAAATTTACGCGATGTTTTTAGAATTTAAAATGCTGGGTTTTGAGATAAATTAATACCGAAAGACGCATAATGTTAATGTAATAGTATTTCCATTCTTCCTGTTATTGTTTGCGAAGGGGGTTGGAGTGGGGATGAAGAGGAAGACGACGAATGCGAGCCCGAAGCTGTGCCGAGTTTTGCCGAAGCATCGGTAAAAGTGAAGTCATTCCTTTAAGCGCATAATATTAGTGAACGTGACGAGGAAAACATTTTGAAAGTGGAAAGGGCTCTGTTTGGCCTAAAACGTAAAGTTTCGACAAACCAGTTGTCCATTAAAGACTTTTTTGGTAAAAAGAAGTAACTTTGAAAGAGAAACGTTCAGTTTTTTTAAAAATTTTAATGCTTTCCCGCAACTATCGTTTCCCGTATTCATCGTTTTTATTTCCCACCCCCGCCAAAAACGATGCATCGAGGTTTCACTGTATCTAACACGTAATGGGAGATGGGAGGTCTTTCTTCGGAGGCAAAGCAGCTAGAGCATGAAGCCAACCGCTTACCCACGCTTAGTGCAGAGGCTAACGCAAGATGATTCACCTCCACACATTTCTCAATGCATTATGTGTAAACTTTACTGTTCTTGAAGGTGGCTGTCTTTTGGATAGATAAAGACAACAAGTACTTGTGAAACAACAATGGTAAATGTCTAGCAAGCTACAACTCAGAAGACAGCCATCTTCATTCTCACTGTCATGAAAACCTCAACGCTTACATGATCCTTGACTTCATCTTCCACAACCCACTGGAGTTTCTTGCTTAGTGTGTCATTTACGAGAATTATGTTCGCAGACAGCTGCCTGATGACAGACTGCGTTTCTTCTTTCTCAGCATTACCTTCTGTCGAGTGTATCTGCGACTGCTGCGATACATTTGCTAGTTCTGCCACTCTTTGCTGGAAACATTCATGCATTAAAATCAACATGAAATTTCTGGCATCGGTGATATTTAACGCTCTGAA